TCCCAATTGATGTGAATGGAAATAGTCTTATCGTCCTTAATTAAACTTTTTTTATTAATAAATAATACAACTTTATAGATACATGATATTTTTTTTTTAACTTTATTTATTGAATATTAATACATTCTGCCACATTGAAGGGCATTAATATTAAGGCTACATGATTCATTCGCACAATATGTACATACAATTAATATCAATAATAAAGAAAAAGAAATATAAAAAAAATAAAATAAGTAAATTGGTATGCCTGTGTACAAAAAAAAATAATAGATAAAAGCTAGATGAAATTAAAGTAAATAAATCACATTCACACCTATGTATGTACAATAATAGATACATGATAATATAATTTTGTAGTCGTGAATCATAACATGTGTTAAGCGTAAACTTCTTGCTAATTCTAGACCGCTCAAGATACACACAAGGTCGTTTGAGCAGGATTTCCTGATTAGAAAATGGCTTTGGGTACGAATTCGCCCATTAGGCTTTCATTTTAGAAATCGTACATTTTTATTATATATAAAAGAGTTTTCATTGACAGCTTTAATTATAGAATAGAATAGAAAATAAACTTATTCTGGGCCAAGGTCCATTAAGAAGAACAATTATGAACAAAATTAAAGAATATATGCAATGTCTTCATTGAAAATATATAAAAAACAAAATGTTATAAGCACTATGAATTTATTCTTAAAATTAAAACTCAAACAATTTCGTCAACCACTCACCTCAATCAAAATTTGATTCGTAAAATTTATTTCATTGTACAGCGTCTTTTTGGCATGTGAGAAGGAATTGGTAAATATGATATTCGAATGAGGACAAGGAAGAGAAGAGGCATAAAGGTAGGAAACACGGGATCTTGTTTTCTAGGAGTGGATCGTGGATTTAAACTGTAGAAGTCTGTAGATATAGGAGGAGTGTCGGGTGTTGGTCGTTAGGAATAGGTAAGAGCCAAGGAAATATTGTCGGCGGGAAGAAGGGAAGATCCACTTTAACTCGTAAAGGCGGAACACATGAGACCGCCTCGAAGAATATTATATTTCGTATAATTGTAATTTCTTGTATTTTCTCTGGTTTCTCCTGTAGTTGTATCTGCAATAGGATTGTTTTAGTTGAATAGGTCTATCAAGTGAGTGTTTTAAAACAATTTGGGATCAAAATATGAAGAGATTATTGCATAGTTGATGAATAATCAGGAAGCAGTCATTTTAAGATTTTTATTTTTACCGACGTTTCAACCCAAACATATGGGTCATCAGAGCTGAGAATATATTTTTTTTTTAGATAAAAAAATAAAATAAAAATTCAGTCCTGATGATGAACTACATACTTGGCTTGAAACGTCGGCAACAATAAAAATCTTAAAATGATTGCTTCCTGACAATTTATCAACTATGACTGTATAACTTCCTTCAATAATTATTGTATATGTTTCTTAATCAATCCGCTAAAAAGTATATAAAGATTTTTTTTAGCGAACGGCTGGACCGATTTTGATGCCTCGAATCATTCACCATTATGGATTCATTACTTGCTTGTATAAGTGTACAATAGACTCTGTAGAATATTTTTGTCTATTTTTTGTCATGTGGTTGTTTGTACAGTGAGATAGTTTTATTTGAATAGCTTTATAAAAACTTGTAAGCGGTAATTTAAAAAAAAATGTGTAGCTATCTACAATTTGATATCTTTATTATTATATTATTTTACTAATCTTCTGATTTAATCTATTTTTCATAAACAGTTTTTTTTTTAAAGAGATTTCTACTTAAGATCATAAAACTACTATCTTTTATATATTAAATTAAAAACCTAAAAAGAAAGTAGGCATAAATAACTTCTTAATTTGCCATATCTGTTTCTTATTATGTACTAATTATTCCGTTAGATAAAACGATTTACAAAATAAGAAATTCGAGAAATTCAATTGTTATATTTTATCCAACCAAAGAATAAAAAAAAAAAGTATTATTGTTCATTTATTTTTCAGATCATATACATTACGATATGATCATATTATTTAACTTAATATTGCTTTAATTTGGTGCTAGCTTTACTAGAATTCATCGTATGTTTGATTATTTTCTGATATTTAAATATTTCTTATTTATTTTTTTCCTATCTCTATAACAAGTTGGGAAATTAAAACTAATTTTGTTTCGAAAATTCATGAATCTTAAAAAAGCTACTCTAGTTTGGTTATCTTTCTAGTTCTCATACAAGGACGTTTACTATTCGACAAGTTCAACTGTGGGAAATATCCAAAAGTTATTTTTTCTTCAATAACTTTTATGTTGGATTTATACAATTATTTATGTATTCTGGTTGCCATGTTTTTCTATTTTTTTTCTCTCATAATTTAAAAAGGAAAAACCTATATTAATTATTGAAAAATTTGAGCACACATATAATCAGAAAAAAATGTCATATATATGCAATTTATGTTTTAAATATATTTATCCATGGATCAAGGAAATCAATTTTTTTTTCGTTTATTTTTCGGTATCATAATTGTTAGATAAATATATAAAAACAATTTTTTTTTAATGAGTTATCATTAACTATTACCATAATTAGTCTATTAGACACTAATTAAAACATTATTTTTTGTATATATATATATATATATATATCTATATATATATATATATACACTCATAAATATGGTAGAGAACGTGAAGCTTTGCCGGTTCATACGACGATGACCCATTTGCCTTCTTCTATGGAGACAGAGAAACGGTTAGTGTCACACATACCATGCCCGTTGGACGTGAGCTTGTGTAGTTACTGCCCAGACTATATTTCAACTCGGATGCGTCAGCTAATTAATCGATATTATCAATTTTTAGTATTTCAAAAAATCGATTAAGACTAAAAATATATATTTCTCGACAATTCTATAGATATTAAAGTTCCTATTGAATCCATGTGTTTATGGACCGAAAAGTAGGTGGGAATATGATGTCAGGACATGCGTTGTAGTTTCAGGGGCATTCTTATTAATCCGGAGCCCGTGGCAAAAAGTGTGTCATATTTCATACTTAGGCGTGTCACTATAAATTGATCACATACATAGGCTTGGTGAGAAAAATGCACGTCTACCAGCATATAGCCGCTGGAATACAAAATGGCGGCCATGTGAAAATAGAGACCCTACGTAGGCTGTAAGAGTATATATAGAGAGGGCTTATAAATATATAAAGCTACCAACCCTTAGTTTGAAATATGACACCTTTTTGCCACGGGCTCTATGACTAAATGGCATCCACATCGAACTTACATGTTCTCTTGGGCTTTTGAGTTGCTTATCTTCAAAGTGAACACTAAACACCTTTTTTCCTTGTAAATCGATGTGTATTTCTTTTTTCAAATTTTTATTTCAAAATTAACATAATTATTAGTAATGTGACAATAAATTTGTTTCCGAAACTGACCTTTTTTCCCAAGGGTATAGCGAAACATGTATTTTCTTTAAATAATGATTAAACAAGAATTATTTTATTGTACCATTATTGTAGAGAAAAAGTTATTTTATTAATGAAAGTTTTTAAACTTTTCCCCCAAATCATAAACCATTATTTTCTCTCCAAACCAACCTTGGTCAACCTTTTTTTTTACCGTTTAATCCACTTCAAAAAGCGATCCTATTCAAGTTTCAATGCTTTTTAATTACTGTTGAAACGATTATTTTATTTTAATAATTATATTAGAATTCACTTTGGAAACAAACGACTCATATTTATATTCTTGTGTCAACTTAAATAAAAAAAATTATTTGTAGAAATTGCAATGTATTGCAACATTTATACATGCCTATAATATTTTATTATACATTTTCCGGACATATAATTTAAAATGTAATAAATATTATATTTTATTTATCCTTGATGTTCTGTGGTTTCGAAAGGCGCGCCTTACGGGCGTAACCCAAGGGAAAATTATATTTTACCGTGACCTTTATTTTCTCTTTCTTCTTTTCAATTGAATTCCATTGTTTGAAATTGCGTAAAATCTGCGTGTAATACTCTATTGTGAAATAATAGTTGTTTATTGCGGATGTATTTATATCGTTTAGTATGATGCGTTTTAGTCCTTAGCCGTTATTTCTTTCTAATAAATGCTGGTTGTAAATCACAACTAGTGATTTTTTAATTTATCCGAATTTATATTATGTGCGACTATTAAAATAATATACATAATTATTACATAACGTTGAATAGCTTTATCTGATCATAACTTACAAATGTTTTATTTATGAAAATTCTCCGAATTGGGCGTTTTCATTCTGAAGATTGAACACCCATTTGTTTTTCACTTAAATCGTAAGACAATTTGATTTTTAAAAAATCGAGAGTAAAAATTTGTTCACAAGATGTCAAAATAACGAGGTTATATAGGCCAAACGGCCCAATATTTTTGTAGAACACTATTTTCCTCGATTTTGTGATCAAATACGATTCAAATGGAATGAAAGTGGGTATTCGTGATTTTTTAGTACCTCATTAAATGAGAAAAAGCGCCTTTTTTTTTGTTGATAATTTTCGTAGATAAAATTAGTTGTTGGTTATGATGAAACGAAACCATTCCGGAAGTTTTAGATGATTGTTTAATAATTTGATTAATAGGGATATGGACCGCCGAGTATAATGTTAGTCGGGTTAAATTTATTTAGGGTAGGTTGCTGAGTCAAAGGTTTTGGATTTAATCTTATTTATTCTGAACATAAATATTTCTAGAATAAATAAGGTTTGTTGTTTACCGTTTAGTCTGTGAGTACAGTAGTGTTGAGTTAATTTTATCTCGAGCTCTCCTAAAAATAAGTTTATAAGACCCAGTGATCAAAAATAAGTAAAAATGATCGAATTCGCAGTTGTTGTTGGGATTATTAACTTGAAGAAAACGAATACGATTATATGTTGTTGGACAATGTATTCTTGATGACCTTGATCCTGGAGAATGGACCAAAAAGTCTTAGTCTTCTTATATTCTTCTAGGTCTAGTGTGATGGTAGATCGGGCTGCCAGAGGGTGAGCAGGCATGCCCAGGGCAAAGAACGTAGGATACTATGAGCGCCACGGTGCGGGATGAGCTGGTGGAGATAGAGATGCTGGGTAGGCGCGGGGGGCAGGTAGACGAAGAATCTCCTGGAAGTTCGGAGGATGACAAGAAGAAGAAGAAGCGTGGCGGAGGACTCCTGGAACTGCTTGGCAAGCTTTGGCAGCCTCGGAGGAACAGGTACAGCAGGAGGAAAACCGCAAAGAGGAACCACAAGTTTTCCACCTCGACGGATTTCCAATATGGAGGTTAGTTTCTTCTCATTTACTTCTTGGTGATATATATATTGTCGATTTTTGCTTGCTAAAACTGAACATCAATATGCTAAGCATTAATTGGATATGCATGTACTAACGAAGCTATTTACATTCGGTTTTTACTTAATTAATATAAAAGAACCGAACTAAAAAAAAATTATAGAAATAATCAGTGGTTTTAAGCTACGTAACATACCTTCCTACTAAAATATTCAAGTTACCGTAGCAATTAATTAAATTATTGAATTTCATTAATTTATATTATGTCCCTATATTAGAAATTCCAAAACTTATGTTGTCAGTGGAGCCCATCCCAACCATAAGTAGGCATTTTACGTTGTTACGTTGATAACTAATTAAGAAACAAGAATTACAAAAAGTCTTGACCATGTTGAATTTTTCATTTAATGAGTTATTCGTTTAAAAGCAAAAACTTGAGGAATGTGGGCAAGTTCTTTCACACAGTGCTGAGCTCATCGATGGCATCAGACGTTTCCTAAAATCATCAATAGAAACTATCAATGGAATGCCACTAGTTGTAACCGAATTGTAATCTCATTGTTGTATCTGAATTTAATTCATATATCGTTGGTGTATTATGTTACTTTAAATATTATTACTTTAAATTTGTTTACCGTCATATAGCATAGGTTCTTATTGAACTGTGGTTAGCGTCCCCTTAACAATTTTAAGACATTAATACGGCCAATTGCGAACCTCAGCGCTGATTACATCGATGAAATCCATCAATTGATTTAATCTAGCACCGATTTATGCTGAATTTATGAACAACCTGCTGGGACCACATGAAGTATAAGATTACATTTTCTTGGAGATTTTTGCTAAATTTATACACTTTCAATCCACATAAATAACGTTTACATTTCATAATTTTTTAGGCTAAAAAATAGAGAAAGACTTCTTAAACATTTTTATTTTACAACTGCGTTTATAATTTGTTTATGAAGGTGGAATTGGTATCATATAAGCTATAAATCCCTGATAATTTTCGCATGAATTGGTGGAGTTGTTATGAAGTTATCACTTGACAAAACCTTTTTGTGCGATAATGTAATTTTTAGATTGCTATAAAACTTCGTTTTGACGTGAGTAACATAAATATCAATTTTTTTTCTTCCTACAAAAACTTAAGTTAAGATTTTTCAAGAATAAACAATATTAACATACGTTTTTCACAACTCGAACAATTTTTTTTTTATTATTCGAAAAATTAAAATTTATTCCACAAAATTTTCATATAGGCTGGACTCTTCGAAATTTTGTCGATGACCTCGAACATAGTGTTCACATTTTTTTTTTTTTTTTTTTAAGCCTAAAAAGTATTAAATGTAAACTTCTGGGTTGTGGGTTGGAAGAATATTAATTCAGTTTCAACCCTCCAGGAGTATTAACCTTCCGCTGGAATCCAGCAAAAATCGCAGTTAGTCATAATAAAGTAACGGTTTTGGATTCAATCGATTGATGGATTTCATCGATAGAATCAGTGCTGAATTGGCTTTGGAATGGGCCTTATTTGATGTCTTAAAATTTTTTCGTGGACGCTACCCAAAGTTCAATAAGAACCTATGCTATGTTTGCTACCGTGATGTTTAAATGGGTAGAAACATCCGTTTTGTTCTCGAACTAATCCTTGATCCTCCTTGAACTAATCTTTAATTCTCCTTTGGGTACCGTTGGAGTACTATGACCCGCTGATCGGTGCCACCCATCGAGAGTTGAGTACCGTTAAGTTTCGATTAGTTGGAAGAGCGGTACGTTAGATAGGGACAGTCGTATTGTTCACAGTCAGCTACGCAACTCATCAGAAACTCCACATGAGTCATTGCACGCGAACCCTAGCTTACGATGCGACTTTTTTACTATCTGTGTATGAAGCACGCAATTATTCAATCTTGTTTATTGTTCTTTGTTATCTCCTCCGAGGAAAATATTTATACTCAAAGCATAGTAATGTTACACCTTAAAAGATCACTTCAGGACACTAGCGAATCCAGGATTTAATTTTGGATGGGGCTTCAGGCCGAAAGCTTTTTTTTCATATATATATATATATATATATATATATATATTAAACTATAATTAATTTGAAAAAAAAAAGAAATTAATTAATTACCTATATGAAATGGTATTTAAGTGGTTCTTGAAGTCCTATTAAATGTAATTACACAAACAAGAATACTTTAATAGATAGTTTTTAATATTTTTTTTCTGTAAAATATTGGTATATTTTACCATTATATTTATATTTTACCATGGGGAGAGGGGGCTTCAGCGCAAAAGCCCCCCTTAGATCCGCTAGTGCTTCAGGAATGTCGTTTAAAATTTTTATATAATTTTAATTCAGAAATCTAATGTCCTGGATTTTTTTATGGGTTATGGGTATATTATCAACACATATGTAATAACACAGATGTAATAAATATCTGAACGCTGATTGGAATTCATGAAACATAACATTTAGTTTTTTATTACAATACAACAGGTATCAACAATTTTTGAAGTAACGAAATGATATATTAATGCATTTCACTATTATGCAGTTTAGTGATGGTATAAAACATCGTTCTTGAAAAATAACTTATAAGGCTGAAATGTTGCCAGGCAACATTAACAGTCATTAACGATGCTTATTAAGCTTGCCGACGTTTGTGATTAAAAAAAAAAACCTCGGTTGCTCTTAGGTCTGTTTTTTTTCCGCTTACATATTTAATCGTTTTATTTGTAGTAATTATCAAGTTAATTTATTTTTACTCTTTATATACTTGTTTTTTTTTAAATTTATTTATAACACGCAAACATGTTTCAAGCTTATAATTATGTTTTTATTTCCTTTATCTTATGTTTACATTCCATATTAGATTTACCTCATTTACATACTTTTATCTTCATCATTTTGTGATGTAATTTTGTATTGTTTTTTTTTTTTCAATTTTTAGTTCCTTTATATACAATTGTAATATGTCTAAACAATTATAGTATGTCCTTTTCTTGATTAATAATGAATGTACTTGAGCTACTAAATAAAAGCGCCTGTCAAGAAAAAAATAAATAAAATGTTTGGGCGCCAAAATTAAATTTTGAATCCACTACTAGTTGTCTCTAATAATTAATAGAAATTCCGGTTAATTAAATAAGTATGAAATTATAATCAAATAATTTATTTGTTTATGTTTCTAAGAAAAACTTTTTGCGAGGTTTTCATAAAAATATTGATGAATATTTATTTAAAATAATATTCCATTGTATAATAATATTCCTTTTTATCGAATTATTAACATCGGCCTGAAACTTCTTAAATAGTTTCATTTCATCGTAACCTACAACTATTTTATTTACGAAAACTTTTGGAATTGGGGCGTTTTCAATCTGGAGGGGAGCAAACTTTGTCTATTTAATTAGGTACTAAAAACTCGTAAATACCTATTTGCTTTTTACTTTAACCGTAAGATAATTTGATCACAAAATCGAGAAAAAAAGTGGCCTACAAAAATATTGGGCTTTTTGTCCTATATAACCTTGTTATTTTGAAAATTTCGGGATGTAGGTCACGCGAAACGGCTCAGTATTTTTTAAGGTCACCTTTTTTTCTCGATTTTGTGATCAAATTATCTTACGATAATTTGAAGAAGAAAGTAAATGAGTATTTAGGAGTTTTTAGTAGCTAATTGAATAGACAAAGTTTGCCCTCTCTATATTGAAAACGCCCCAATTCCAAGAGTTTCCGTAAATAAAATAGTTGTAGGTAACGATGAGATGAAACTATTTACGAAGTTTCAGGCGGATGTTAATAATTCGATAAAAAGGGATCTGTTCCACGGACTATAACACTGTTATTGTATTTTTCGTTTCAATCATTGTATTTCACACGTTCTTAAAAATAAATTGATAAAATTTTCCTCTTTTTCTGACTCATTATTAATTTTTTTTTTCAATAATATACATTTCCTTGATTAAAAAAAATCTTATCGAAGGCCCTGTATGTGGAATTTATATACATATACATAGGTTCGGCATTATTTCATTTCGGTCACCCATTTTAACGTATGGTTTCACCAGATCTGAGTTCATATAAAAGTTAGATTGTACTGATGACTAGCAGAACAAATGGTTCTGTACTTGCTGAATCCCTTAGTTGAAATGTAAATAGATACAATCGTAAACGATACACGAGCCAAATCGCTATTTCACTTGAAGAAAATTTAAATTTAAAAGTGAAATCTAGGCCTCCAGAGACTTTGATTCAGTGAGGTAAATTATAAATAGTTCGGCCATTCGTAACAATCTCCTTCGGCCCGAACATTCAGTCGGAGCTCGCTGAAATAGTAACAAACCAATGACTACCTTAGCCCGCGGTGAATGATTTCGTTTATCGAGGGTTGTTAGAGCCGTTTGGCTTGGCATTGTGCCAAAACTATTATATAATCGATATATATACTTATATATATTAATAATTCTGCCTACGAATTCAGAATATATCAAATATCTGAATATATAATATATCCATGTGACATTTTATTTAAATTCATCGTTGAACACGTACCTCTTACAATTTCAGTGAAAATTTTGAGACTCCAAAAAAGGAACTTCTCTAAAGTACAGTTTACGATACACTGTCAAGTTTCTAGACCAAAGATTTGGCTTGGTTGTAGTTAAATACTTTGGTTTTCGACCACAGACTTCACAAACCCTTTTATCCGATACAATTTTTAATCAACATATTTTTCTGCTAGGTGCTCCATGGCAGTAACCTTAACTCGCAACTAAACTTTGAGTGATCTTTGTTATTCGTCTCAGAAAATTGAAGGATGAATTGTCATTTCTATTAATTCAACTCTACTAGTTGACCCTTCCGAATACTCAGCACAAACCTTATATTTTGATTTGATTTTAATACATTGAGGGCTAAGCACAACTTCCATTCAATAATGTTTGGTACGCAAATATATTTAGTAAGCTATCAGTTAATAAAT